GATCAGCGTTACTACTATATGATACATGAAACATGTGTTGGACAGCTGCAATAGTATCTTTTTTCCGAATTATCTTCCCTTGCACCACATCATCCCAGAAAAATATCCTCCGGGAAGCTGTCTGCTTTAGGTATGAATTGGCACAACGGATGCTTCACTGCCCATCATGCAACGCATACGACCTGATTTGCTTTTGCGTGTAGGCGGGGTGTAGCCAGAGCCTTGCGAAGGGGGAACACAAGGTTGACAAAATCCCATCTTATAGTGGTCTCCCCAAATATCCCCGGATATAGCTTACTTGTTAATAAGCGACACAGATTTCTTCGTTTTATTCTTCTTTTTTTGTAACCAGAACAGAAACCAGGTGCTACCGTGAGCTTAATTCTTTTTGTATTTTGAGTTCAGTGAACTGCAGAAATCAGGCGTTGAACGACTGTATAAAATAAATCACCGGTGCTTTTAACGTACAATGGTTAGTTGGCTCTTTCTAAGCGGATAAAGTTCAGAAGCTTTGTCACAATTTGCTACCTTGTTTCTACTGGCATTGAGGACATCGCGAAGGCAGATCATACATCGATATGTTTGATCCAAATTTGAAGATGAAAATTGTATTGCACATCGAGTGGTCAACAATGTGTATTAACATGGCTAAGCCATGTTTGTCTGAAAATGTTCACCATTCAGTTAGAATCGATCAGTGATGCAATTTATGTAGCGTGGTTTTTTAACATCCGCGCTCGCCGATTTTAGCAACAAGAACTTCGAAACCAGGCGTTGTGGTCTCCATAGTTCGCGGAGCGTTAGCCCAGTTGCTCTCAGTCGCGGCCCACCGGTGGACGAAAATGATGACGCTTCTGAAATTATTACATTTAAGCACTTCAATCGACTAGTAATATAAGCTATGTGACGTAATTTTAAGCATGCGCACCAAAGATCTTACCGACACAAGCCTCGACCCCAGGCGTTGCAGTTTCTGTAGGCCGCTCAGCGTTGGCCTAGCAGTTAATACTAAGTTGTGGTCAACTGGTGGACGAAAATGACGACGCTTCTGAAAACGTTTGCTTGCACGCCTCGTGACATCAGATCTTGCATTTAGAAGGCCGCCCGAGGGCATATTTCACGTGGGCAGTTTTTAAACAGATGAAAAGAACGGATTGGCCCTTAAAGCACCGCGAAGTGGGACTGAAATCTGGTGATTAAACTGGAAGAGTAAAGGTAGAATATCCATTTTTCGTGTTTTTGCAGCTATTCATACATCCAGGAGACATATGAACACGGCACTCGCAGTCTGGTGGCATTTGCAGTGACCGAAACTTTTCGGTTTTGCGGAAACCGCAGCCCAGACTATCCCTGTCCTTGCTCTGGAGGTTGCGGGCGGGCATGTTCCAGCCCTTTGATGTAATTTGTTTCAGAAATACATTCTGAAAAAATGAACGATCTCTGGGAGACATGGCATGACCTTGCTCGTTTTTTAAGCTCATTTCGACCCCCCTATTTAACGATAATGAGACCCCATTTGCTCAACAATAATGAGGCCCCTTATTTCCTTTCGGGCAAGAGGCCTCCTGAGTAGAGCACCACCATACTGCTTCCAGTCAAGGGCTGAAGGGCCATTCCGTCCCATTGCGAAATGTCTTCTGGCTGTGATTCCGGTGACACGGGGCGGGATCTCCTAGTCGATCCAGAGGCCATTAGGATATATCATATCATATTGTTTCCATCCCTGACACGGGAGACCTTCTGACCCGCGTCGCTAGCCCCGGATCAGCACAGAAACCCTCATTGACGCAACACAATCCCTGATCACCGTAGGTAGTCCAACAATTATCACATAAAATTCAGTTCCGTGTTTTTCTGTGTTCTTCAGGGATATTGAGTTCTCCCTGACCTTAGATTGTAGATGAAATGGGGTTCCTAATTCGTATTAGCATTGCTAACCCGTGTTCGTCTTAAAATGCTTAAGATCCTGTCAGAACTGATTACTGATAGAAAACTACGTAATATGGTCTTGAACATGCGCGCTCGCAATTCGTAGCAACAATCTCGACGCCCGGCGTTGCAGTCACCAGGCTCCGCGGCGCCGGCCTTACGGCTGTAACACTAAGCGATGGCCAATGAGTAAACGAAAAGAATGACGCATCTTAAGGGGATGGCTGGTGAACTAGGCAAATCGGCATGCATGTTAAATGTAGTGCAAAAGTAAGCCAAATGCAGCCTTAATCTGAAAAGTACGGGGCCAGTTAACATTACTGGTCTTCCCACCTTGAAAAGTGGTGGCTATGGCCCCCTTGCCCCCCCCCCCCTGTTCCTACGCCCATGGCTCGCGCAGTTACAGGAAATACTGAATTATTTCGCTATATACAGAAGCAATCTTTGCTTAACACAACAGTCCCGACATCAGCAGTTCCTCATCCGCTGTGCGTCTGCACCGCCTCTCTCCTGTCGCCACTTGACCTTGAGCACGCCAAGGGCGGCCATGTCGGCGGTCGGGCGACCGGGAGCACGTTCTGGATATTTAACCTTTATGAACGCCCAAGATAAAAATTCTGGCTTACGTGCTGTGCCCTGAACACGCCACTGTATGAGCAGGAGCGGCTGTGAGATGCCATCGGGGCACCCGCGCCCCTCCCCCTCCTAATTCATATTTGTTCGCTCGTGCGCATGCATGTGACTAAATGTCGGTAATAATAAAATCAAGGCAGATACGCAGCGAAGGTAAATAAAAATATGTTATGTTATCAACAAACAGGTTAAAGCGATACTAAACATTTGTTACGTGTCGTGCAATACCTGTTATACGCTATGCGATATTTCATGTCATACGTAGAATTTTCGGTGCAACATTTTGCGGTGTGGTCTCCGTTGCGAAATCCTACTCAGCCCATACCACACGTTATAAAAGGTGTGTTCCTTTAAACGCGTGCTTTTAGATTCAATTAACAAAAAAAGAACAGGGAATGAGCGTCATCGTCATCCGAGTGGCAATTATCGCAATATTTTCCATTTTTCTCCACGAGATCGAGGGATGCGCGGGTATGTTAAGACGGCTAGCCGCGCGAACGCCACTGAGACTACGCTTGGCCTGTGGCCTGTGTGAGATTTCGGTACGCCTTCGCTGCCCAACGAAACGTGATTCACTTGCGTTGGGTATGGAGTGTAGCGTTTAAAAGTGGTAGAGCTTCGCACGCCTGGAGTGCCCTTCTTCCTTTCACAATTTTGTATGTTTCCGGTACGGGCAGGCATGAAGCATAAATCGCCAAACGCGCACAAATTTCAAGAGGTTTCAAAGTTTCCCGCTTAGGTTTTACGATGAAGTTTTGGAAGTGAAGCTTCATTTAGGCGTTTGCCCCAGAGTCATTTGATTTTTATATCGGACCGAAGATGGGATCGAGTTGATAAAGAGGAAGTGGATGTGATCTTTGACACATCTCATAACATACAGATTACATCGAATTGTCCAAGGTAAGACTGTAGTTTGATCCATGCATGCGCACTGGAAATGAGGGTTCACATGAATTTTAGACACGAATGTGCCCTCCCAAAAACGTTAATGAGGGGAATTTTAGAAACACCGCGAGAACAGGTGGGCAAAACTGAGTACTGCTTTAAGCATGCATATTCAAGTAGTTTGTCGCCGGAAAAAATTGTGGCTGAAGTAAGTCCAATGTATATGACCATCCAATGCTTACGTGACAGCTTTCTATCATTGATTGGCAGAGGTGGTCGCTTTATGGCCAAAAATTTGATAGGACCCAAACCCCACATTCTCACCATGCGTTGTTGACCAGTGTAATGTCTTCCAGTTCACGAATGTCAGTTTCCTGCGACATGGAATTCTCCTCATACCCATTCGACACTCAGGATTGCCACGTAGAGTTTGGAAGCTGTAAGTTACCATTGTCTCAATTTCTCGCCTCGCCCAGCTCGTTCTTTTGTGCTGGTAGCGAGAATATTCTCGTCTTTTGGGCGCTTTTGGCCAATGTCAAGGTCATCTGTCATTTATCGATGTTAGTGCCGTTTTACCGAGTCAGTTTTTCAAATAGCAGTACAAGCAAATCACGGTGGCACGGGATTGCATTTGCAAGCATGACTTATGAACTTAATCAAACTCTGTTCAGCAACAATTTTTCGTGAGGAAAACCAGCTCACTTATGGCAAGTTTGCGAGCATGTTGCGTGGGCGCCGAAATGACGAATGGCTGGAATGCTTGACAGACGGTTACAACATGACCGAGATGATCTGGGACTGGATGTCGGCAAACGGAAGCATCTACTCGAACGACAAACTGTCGCGAAAGAACTTCAGAATTACCATCAAGAGAAGTAGCCACGTTTCAAGATGCTATGGTGAACACGAAGGTTGGTTCTTTGATCCATTCAATTTTGCTAGTGTTCGATATTTTCCAGCAGCAGTAATTGTGAACGTGCGTGAACCTGTTGATTCTCCTTCCTTCTCTTTCTCTGCCTACCCGGGCCGGTGATATTGGAGCCAAACATTTATATCCACCTACCACCTCAACTTGTGGTCTCCAGTGCTACAGCCTGTAAGGAAAAGCCTGCCTCTACTACGACTTAATGTCAGATCTTCACACTAACATGCAGAAAAAAACTCAGCCCCGCTCGGAAGCGTGTAAAATGTATCGCAGCCTCATCGATGGCTACACTCCAGGCATGTATCATCCTGTAAGATAAGACCGGCAATGTCATATATCTACCCAAATCCTCCACATCACAACATACACATATTTGCTGCCAACCCTGTGGGCGCCTCCAAAGGAAGCCTCTGTGATATTGGCATTGTTTGAGTAGCCCAACACCATGAATGACCCTTTGGTCGGTAGATGTTACGATAGACTGGTCTGCTCTGAGGGGTTTAGCGTGGTGACCTCGGGCGTTGTGCATTTCTTAGCCGGGATGCAGGGACCAGCTGTTTCTCTGGCGTCGTTGTGTGTGTTCTGTTCTGCCTGTGTGTGTTCTGTTCTGACTGCACAACGTCTCGGTGGCAAGTCGAGGCCCCTACATTTCTTCGCTTGCGTCGCCTCAGGAAAGAGCTATCCCGTCTGATGCCGACTCTACTCGATATGACCGGCTCGCCGACTCTCCACAGAGGACTGCTACGCCAACGTGGCGGTGACAGTACACCTGCAGCGACGCACCATGTTCTTCCTGTGGCACACGTTCCTGCCGTGCGTGCTGCTGGTGGCCACCTCCTGGCTCAGCATGCTGCTGCCGCCGGAGGTCATCCCAGGCCGTATGGTGCTTTGCATCACCTCCCTGCTGGCCCTGCTCACCATGTTCACCTCGAGTCTGTGAGTGTGCTCCCTGCTCACCATGCTCACCTCGAGTCTGTGGGTGTGCTCCCTGCTCAACATGTTCACCTGCAGTCTGTGGGTGTGCCCCCTGCTCACCATATTCACCTGCGGTCTGTGAGTGTGTTCCGTGCTCACCATGTTCACCTCGAGTCTGTGAGTGTGCTTCCTGCTCACCATGTTCACCTGCAGTCTGTGAGTGTACTCCGCGTTCACCATGTTCACCTCGAGTCTGTGAGTGTGCTCCCTGATGATGAACATGATTTGGCGTTTTAGGATACATCGACTGCTGTAGGTCATGCAGCGTCAGAATGTGCTCCCTGCTTACCATGCTCATCTCGAGTCTGTGAGTGTGCTCCCTGCACACCATGCTCACCTGCAGTATGTGAGTGTGCTTCGTGCTCACCATGCTCACTTACAGTCCGCTAGTGTGCTCCCCACTTACCATGCTTACTCCAGTCTGCGAGCGAGCTCCCTGCTCACTATGCCTACCCGCCGTCTGTGTCTGCGAATGGGCTATTTTCTCCAGTCTGTGAATGTGCTGGCCTTGTTCACGATATTCGCCCTCCCGGAAGCGCAGCTAAGGGGGCAGGGTGCCGCCGACCCCCCCCCCCCCCCCCCAGGCTCGTATTTTCATTTTTTGTCACAGATTGCTCCTGACAAAAAGTCAAAACTTAAGTTCTCATCCTCAAATATCCAGTACACGACAAATACCACAATAGTACTCACGTGTGCTTGCACCTAATTGCTGCGAATATTGAATGCTTGTTGGAGTGGATCGTGCCTCTCCGTCAAGAATTTGTTCCTGATCAGTTGTCATGTGGACGCGCGTTGCGTGCCTCTGTTGGTAATGTGAAGGTATAACTGCATACCTTTAATTCAGATCAGATTCGGTGTGTGTGTAAATAGATGGGCATAACTGGCAGTATCTGGTGTCCTGTTTTAAAAAAGAAGATGTCACACCGTACAGCTGGCAACAAACAGCCACCATCCAAACGCATTACACATTCATTTTCCCTTGGTTTGCAGGCATTTGACATTTGTGTTACGGAAGCGAGCCAGGTGTTTTGTCGTGTTCTCAAAATCGCTAGCGTGTCTTCCAGGCATTGATCCCACCTTGTGTCAATTTTCATCTCTCTCTGGAAATCACCCTGACGTATTCTTTTTGTGAAAAAGTAGGTGGGCCTCAGGCCTGCTGTCTGCACACCTGCAAAACTAGCCTCATTTCTGACGACAGCACCGGCCTGGAAGTGTCGTACATCCGAGCCAGCGACATCTGGTACGTGGGCTGCCTGGTCTTCGACTTCCTCATCATTCTGGAGTACGTCGTCCTCATTTTTATCCAGCGCGAGAGGAAAGCAGAAGATGGGCCGACCTGGGCCCGCCCGCGTCATATCCACCCAGCTGAGGTGAGCGTGCTGGGGAAGGGGAGGCGACCTAACGCACGTGGCGACTGGATATTCGGAAGTGATGTAAATTTGGTTTCTCTTAAAGAAAACCTGAATAAGCTGGGAGCATCGGCTTTAGAGTTTTCGCGAAATTGGGGACGTCATTGCTAATACACAGCCTGCCAGTTTACAACGTAAAGTGTCACCGAATCACTCAGAACGCAAAAGGAGAACTCTTGGCGGCGGCCGTGTTAACAAAGTTTCCAAGTTTTGCGACTTTGCAATACCGCCATGTTGACATTTCGGCGAAATGGAAACAGTTTACCAATTTTCCTCCCCATCACTTTGGACTGAAATCAGACATCTCGCCCTAAACAAAAAGGGTGCGTGATATGCACAGCAATGGAATTTAAAGCTAACTGCAAAGCATGCATCTAGGTTGCGGAATTTCCAAATTGGCTGACCGTCTGGCGAAATCCTTCGAATATTGCTTAGTTGGGGGGGGGGGGGGATATAAATACGATGTGCAGTTCAAAGCAGACCGAATGTTGTTAACATGTCCTACTGCTTTACCCACTAGCTCATCCATGGCAGTAGCTGTGTGGCATATACGTGCGTGGCATTTAACATCAACATTAACTTTACGGTCCTGTGTATACGTATGCATTCAAGCCACATATATGGAAATACACCCCAGCATATGACGTCACTCAATAAATTTAAATGCGTCTGTTTGTCGATGCCAACTTCTTTAACCCCAACGTTTTATCTGAAATATCATTGATGCTCATCAGCAAGTGGCAAGTGTCGTGAAAACGTCCATCATGTGTCGTGTCGTTACTATGAGTGCAGGTTTCGAGACACTTATCTGCGAAAAGTCATAACCATAGTCATACCCTCGGAAATTTCAGTGCGACATTTTCTAAGAGCCCATGCAGTGTTGCCGACGGCGGCCGTGTCCCCTACAACGTCCGGGTCGCAGACACAGAAAGAGATATTATTGTATGCGAGGGCGCTGGGCTGCCACATTTCCTCATATCTAACCATGTCCCACCAGGTCCCAGCCTCGCTCTTTCTCCCCCACCCGGGGCAAGCACTTCACGTCATTCTTCCAGCTCGTGGTGGATATCAACATTTACCGTGGCCCTCGCCATTACCGTTCCGCCCGGCAGAAGCTGACGAAGAAGAGCCTGAGCCGCGCGTCGCTGGGCTCCTCGGCCCGGTGGCGCGACGTCGACCCGGCGCGCATGGACCGCGTCAGCCGCTGGGCTCTAGTCGTGCTCTTCGCCTCCTTCGCCTTCGGCTACTGGTGCTACTACTGCCTCTAGGCTGGAGACACCGCGCCGGAAAAGGATGGAATCCAGCCACGATGTGAGTTTGTTGGTCGGCAACGTCGGTAAAAAGCAGCTTGCCGGCGGATGGACACTTGCTTCAAGCCATCATTCGCGTTTCTCTGACAACGGAGCATCAAGATGTGTAGTAGAGCAGCTGCAGGATTTTGTGCTGCCGTCACCGCCCGAGTTGTCCGTGCATGCTGTCCGGTCCTGGCGCGCCTAGCCGTTTCTCGGTCCGTGTCGGTCCACATGGGGCGTTGACGTCCCGTGTGTTTCAGGTGTACCCTGATATCGCCTATGTGCTCAGAAAGGTAATCAGGAACGTTTGTGATCAGCAACAGGAGCAGCTGCTGCGAACTAGATCACACCAATTGGTGACCAGAAACAGGAGCAGCTGCTGTGAACTAAACCATGACGATTGGTGATGAGGAACAGGAGCAGCTGCTGCGAACTAGACTATGACGATTGGTGATGAGGAACAGGAGCAGCTGTCGCGAACTAGACCATGACAATTGGTGATGAGGAACAGGAGCAGCTGCTGCGAACTAGACCAGGACGATTGGTGATGAGGAACAGGGGCAGCTGCTGCGAACTAGACCAGGACGAGCACACTTCGCCAGGATTCGACATGCTGAGGCAAACGCGTGTGAGAAGTTGAAGGCCGTTTGCCTGTGGGCTATTAACATGTGTAGCGCTAGAGACAATGTGGCATATGATTTGTTTGCGAGACTTTGACTAGGAAAGCACATTAACGCACGTCAGTGCGTTCCGCCAGTGATTATGGATGCATGCTGCACTTGCTTGTGCCTACCCACATGTGTTTGACCCGACCAAAGAAGTCCCTTTTGGTTATGCAAAAATACACTTTTGCGATAATACATGACATGCAAGTACTGAGCAAGTACGCAGCCTGGCGTATGGCCATGCGGTGCTCTGAAAGTCCATAATCGTCACTGTGCACCCGTCGGTCCGGTGAATGCGTTTAACGTGATTGCGACTGCGAAACATTAGTCTTAGCGCTGGATTAACAACGCCAATACGCTTCCTGATGGTGCTGGAGATGCGCGTGTGTGTGTTTCTGGAGGGGGAGGGAGAGATGGGTGGTGAGAGTTGGCGGGACCCAGAAGCCCCGGGATATCGGGACCAATTCGGCATAAAAGGTTCACTCCATTCCCGGCCAACAGCCAGAGTCAAACGGCCAAAAGAGCCCGTTAGTGTCTGGAAGGAGGTTTCACCGGCCAGAATGATCCCAGGTAGCTCTCATGGCCGTTAAGCGACCACAGGCTCCTTGGCAGCCAGGAAAAGGCCACTGAAGAGTTAAAAAAAGCCTGGGTGGCCGGAGGCTGGGGTGGCTGAGGTATTATTAGACGTTGCGTTCAGCCAAATACGTTGTTTTAAGGCTCTTCTCACTTATGCTCCTTTTCTTTGCAGTCCGCGCGTCAAAAAAGCCCTTCCATGTGCCCCTTGACCTCCTGGGCCCCCTACTTCGTACCTCTCAGACCCGCACATACACATGTTGATTTCCCTGGACCCAGGGTCTAGAACTCCGGACCACAACAGATCTCTAGTCACACATCCTTCCCACGAAAGGCGGTCAGGAAGTGGTCATAAACAGTGAAATGATTGCCTTCCATCACCACGCCCCACCCATTCATTCTGCACTTCGCATCAAGCCATGGGGCGACACATGAGAGCGTACTGAGTTCCAGGTCCTGCACACAGCCATCACCATTATCAGTCGTGGACAAAACAGCCGCACTCGCACATAACCGCGAAACCATGAAGCAACGCAACGAGTGTCACCTCCGCGATGAATGCGCTCGTGTGCCGCGGCGTCTCACTTGTGCGGCACGAGTGGGGCACAAACAGAGCACGATTGACGCCACAATGGTGAAGCGCTCGGCTCGGCGGGCGGGCCGCCCCTCGGACCCCAATGCTCGTTACGACGCCGCTCAGCGGCGGCAGACCGCTATAGACCGGCTCGAGTGCGTGGGCACACACCATTGTTAGCGCCTCGACGGCGGCCAACGGGTGCACAATGGCACCGGCCGGCCAGCCGCAGCTAACACACAGCCAGCAACTGAGTCCAGCTGTGTTCGACCGGCGACGGCGCCTGAGAACGTCACACCTGGTACACCGGTCAGCTCCGCCCTGTTAACTGGCTGCCGAGGGAGAGGTGAGGGGGAGGGGGAATACCCACGACTGCGGTACGGGGTGTCAGCAGGTCCGTGGCCCGCGGTCCCTGTTTTGCAGGTTCTGTTGCTTTTCGAAATGTCCCAGCGCAGTGGCCTGCTTAAAGACATGTGGAGATTAGGTATCACAACCTGGTCATTGGCATTCGACTCTTTCTGGTGGTTTCCAGCCCAGTCCATCAGCGTCATGTCTCCAGCACTGTCTAATACCCATCATTATACTTCCAATGCATCACTGTATGGCGCATGAAATCATGGATGTGCGCAGAATTTCGCGATAATAGGGGTCACTGCTACAAATTGGTCGCTAATAGAACGTTTTATTATGCCGCGGGAGCGTCAAACTTATTGCACAGCTCTTACCAGCATTGCCTGCGTTCATTTTACTAATTGCGACTTTTTTGCTTGGTTTTCAATTGCCCACCCTCACTCAAAGGCAATCATGTCAGCATTTGGTATCCTTAGGGACGCATCCTTAGTACCCTTCTTGAATACGTCCCCGCATGATATACATTGCCTCTTTGCCTCAAACCGTTATCGAGCCTTGGGATCACACCATCACATATCACGTGACTTTTGTAACAGCGCTGACACGTGTCGGCTGCCTCGCCAGGCCTCGCCGCCAATCCGTTCCAGCACATCTCTGCGCGAGGCAGAATTTCAGAAAGCCACGTCCTTCTTTAACACGCAGCCGGGTGGTCGGTTGAATATCTTTCGCCCGGGCAGGGATCATTTTGACCCCCTGAGATTTCAACAACTAGGAGAGCTAGAGACACCAAATTTACAGGGTGTATTTTCCTTATGTGAGCTCACCTACGTAAAAATCTGAGGCCAACAATCTTGTTCAAGACATGACAACTGCGCAAGAAATCGTTCAGCTTGCTGCACGAGTAATATCTGACAAGTGCGGCCTTAAATGGTCCGTGCATGCGAGCCTGGGCTGGCTTCCTCCCGGAGCATGTTCGGCCATCAGACTCCACAGCTGCTCCCCCGCATCAGGCGGGCGAACAAGCCCGGACGCATCGCTGAGCGGCTCCGTTCTAAACTACCAGCGAACGAACCACACACACACACGCACGCACGCACGCACGCACGCACGCACGCACGCACGCACGCACACACGCACGCACGCACACACACGCACACGCACACGCACACGCACACGCACACGCACACGCACACGCACACACACACGCACACACACACACACACACACACACACACACACACACACACACACACACACACACACACACACACACACACACACACACACACACACACACACACACACACAGTATGGGCAGTCTGGTCAGTCTGCCCCGCGTCTGTGGCCCCGCGGCAGGCGACAGGCTGCTCGCGTATTAAGTCACCCCGGCGGTCAACGCCTTTGCCGCTGGAGTTCGCCAACATGTCGGCCAGGGCAGTCTTCACAGACAGAGTCTGAAACGTCAATAACCTGCGACGCTCAGTGGTCATGCGCGACGACCACTTGCCATGCCATTTTGCGCACCAGTATGTGATACTCTGACTAAGTGCGCAGGAACTAATACATGTGCACGGGTAAAAGTGACATTTGCGCTAGTTTGGTAGGCGCCTGGTCCTCGGTTTTCGTACGCGCCTGCATCCTCTCGGATACACCGCAGCATTTCAAGGGACGTGATAACTCCGGTAGCCAATCATTTTGGTAGGCACTGACGCTGGAGAGGACCAACATCGTCTTCTGCTCAACGACAAGCGGCAGTCTGCAGCATTTCAACCACTAATCTTACGGACACATCTGGTGGAATGCAGCAGGTAGGCTCGACTCCGCCCTGTCTGCGATTGTGGGCGGTAAGTAATCCTGAATTCGTCCCTGCTGAGCTAGTCAGTAAATCAAGCGGGTGAGTTTGCCATTTTTATTTAAATTCAATAGAGGCAGTTGTCTGGCGGTATGTTAACGATCACTTGCTCCACATCTACACCAGTACGCACTACTCGTTGAGTGTTAGCCAACTCTGAGCTGGGCTGGTACCGTCCGCTCAAAAGATGACCACAGGTCCTCACAGATTCCACGCATCGGCGTTCTACTTGGCCCATGACCGATAGGTTGCCACGTACCCCATGACCAATGCGAGGCAAGGCTTTAATGGAACGATGGAAAACTAATACCGACACAGCACGAACGGCAAGACGTGCATACCATTCCACGCTGAGAATATTGCTTATAAAAGTATAAATGCATGCACCGACGCCCAACCACAAAGGCGCCCATTCGTCCACCGCTACAGCAGTTCCCAAGTTTCAGTATAAATCTCTGGGTACGAGTACGAGCTAAATCGCTGGGTACGAGTCCCCGCCCTGTCACGGAACCCACTTCACGAGGTGGTTTGGTGTGTCCCACCAACATCCAACTTTGAGCGCCAAACCACGCAGTAAAAACGAACATTGTCAAAGCCAGTCGAGACATGCATAGCGTGGGGCATACGTGCTGCGAACTGGGTACCGCTTGCTGATGGCCCGTGATTTTTTTCAGATTTGCTGCGAGTGGCTTAATCAACGTGATCCTCTCGTGTGCATTACATGTTATTTTAGGTCAAGAAACAGGCTGTTTCATCGTCCACTCAAGTTAAAAGCTCCAGTAATCTGGATGTAGACCAAAAGGCTTTGACTACGGCATCACGCAACGACCGCATACCGCCTCTGTGACAGCCTACTCTAGATACCCAAATATTTGCACTTTTCACGCTACGCATGACCGATCTTTAAAACTCTGTAATTCAAGCCATCAACCATTCGCCTAGAGGTCCAGGTCGCCCCGACTGCAAGACGGGGCCGTCTGTCGCAACTCGGGCAGATCACCGCATCTGAAACCCGTGAATAGTGGACCCGGCCGTACGCCAGTTGGTCATGCGCAGTCATCGCACCTGCACAGACAACATCGGCATCAGCACGGCTCTGGCAGCAGCTGAGCGGCCAGGACATGCACGGGAGGGAAGATCGGTAACATTGGCATCGGCTGAGCAGGTCGGAATTAATCTTTCGCTGATTCTGACCTGCTCAGTTCTATACTCCGTCCACACGGTCAGCAACAAACGCAACAGGAGAAATAACACAAGTGATGCAGCGCGATACTGGCACCGGAATAACGAACAAAACCCGTATAAGAAAGTACAGCGGGAAAAACGCCATCTAAAATTGTCATACTCGCAACAACTTGTGCTCTCCTGAGGGACGGATATCTGGGAGACAGACACAGCAGCGAAACGATTTTGTTTCCTGGCAACATTTGAATTAAAGACTTTCCGCCCGAGTTCGTATATGCTATCGGCCACAGTACATGTCGACCGTACCGTTTCCTCCACTTCCAAGATTCTTCCCTGCTGTCCATATCTTCAAACCGTCACCGTCGCGTTCACACAACGCACCACCACCGACGCCCGCACGCCATCACGCCTCGCTCCCACCATCACGCCCCGTGTGCGCCATCACGCCTCGTGTCCGCCATCACGCCTCATGTTTATCAGCACGCTCACCGCTGCCGCACCCACGTGGTCTCGTAGATGTATGAGAGCCCAGTGCCTGCGAACTTGGACGTGTCCGGCCGGCTCTCCATCAGCCGGAAGCCGGCCTCCTCCAGCGCGTGCAGCGTCTGCAGGAAGCCGAGCGCGTCGGCGTGGCTCAGCTGGAGCTGACGGCTGGGGTCAGCGCTGAGCGTGCCGCGCGGGAACAGCAGGTGCAGCTCGACGGTGAACTGCGGCAGGCGCCGCAGCGCGCCGCCACCGCCGCCCAGCTGGTCGCGCAGCACGCTCCACTCGCTGCCCTCAGCGTCCAGCTTCAGGTAGTCGATGCGGACGCCCTCGTGGCCGAGGTGGCGCACTAGCGCGTCCAGCGTCAGCAGGCGGAACTCGCGGCCGTCGACGCGATGGGTCCATGAGTGGCCGTCGATGCCCAGGTAGTGGACGTGCAGGGCGTCAGGCAGCGCGGCGGCCGTCCGGTTCAGGCGCACGGTCGGGTCGAAGGCGTGCACCGTGCAGCCGAAGCGCACCATCTCGGTCTCGAACGACAGATCGTCGCGAATGCCGAACGAGTAGACGAGGCACGGCTGGCCCGGCGTCAGCAGACCGTCGTCCAGGCACACGGTCTTGCTGCCGTCGGCGATCGGCACCAGCAGGCAGCTCTCCTCGTCGCCGGGCGTGGCGTCCACGCAGGAGCACTTGCCGCCCGGGAAGATGGCGCTGCGGCAGCGCACGCGCTCGTTGGCCGGCGACAGCATGTGCTCCAGCCGCGCGACCAGCTCCTCGAGGGAGAGCTCGTCCAGCGGCGCCGTCAGTTGGCTGAAACAGGAGTGACTGACGTTTAGTCGTCGTTGACACCGAAACCGACTTGCTCAGTGATAGTAACTTTTTTCTAAGGCTGCTGGGAGACGCCGGTCGTGTCTGTATCCAAACGCTTGATCTGGACAACATAGCTTCATCATAGCGCCTCGGCGTACCTCGTACCACGGTCAGAGGCGAAGACGCGCCCCGTAACTCGCTCCTCGCCGCCTGATCAGCTCTGTGGAATCGTACCAGACCAAACAGAGACCAACAAAACAGACCACGACTCAGATGGTCTGTCAGGGTGTCTGAAAGCTTGCCGAAGCCACGGAACTGTTCATGGTCGGTAGTCCCGATACAAGTCGCAACATGTGAATATCTACAAAAGAAACTGACGACGAGCAGGATGCATGTAAAACACATTCAGTCCACGCTGTAGTCCACAAGCCATTACTAAGTTAAGTTTCCATACGTATTGTGGCTTCGACAAGCCAGGTGTCATATCAGACTAATCATGCAGTTGTAGGCCAGTCACTTGGGAACGCTTCAGCCTGCTCATCGAGAGCTATCTATGCACAGTATCGGCGCCATCAACGTTTCCCAATGGGAACAAGCAGATTTAGGGGTCTGTTTTACCGTCTGTCAGTGCATTTCCCGACTCATTTTATTCCTTTTCTTAAAAATATGTTGCATACCTTAAATTCAATGAAGCGTCTTTTAGCCCGGCACAGCACCCGGACTGCCTAATTGGCTGGCAGGCATTCCTGTGTTTTTCACGGTGCATTCTATGCATTTGACTGTTTTCACAGGAGCATGGCTTTCTTATCCAGTTGAAGGGGCTCCAGCCCACAAATGTATACAAGAAATTGGACCGAATCCGGAGCGCAATATGCCTGTTTGCGTATTTTGGGGATTCACTATTAAACCCCTAAAGGAATGCTAGGGTTTTGAACTGAACTAGTCATATTGAAGACCTTCTGATGCAGCTCACGGCCATGCCCTTTTTAAGACCTAAGGCCCTCTGGTTCCTAAGCTTAAATGCCACAAAATGTGGGAGAATTATTTGGGAGAGGAGTTGAAAGGTCACCTTGCATCCATGGCCGTAATAACATCACTCCAATCGTACCATTTCATAAGCCATGCGGTGATCAAGGCGGCCAAGACAGATATCATGGTCAAATCATTCATATCTGGCGTCCGTGAACACGATTTCTAGACTAAAACGACCGCCAATTGGCCCTCGAGGAATGTAATGCAAGGTACGATGAACTAATCAATCAGTGACGTGTCTAGGAGCACATTTCCTAACTAGAAAAATTGCGTCGCCCATAGCAGTCTTTCCAATATCTTCAAATGCGAAAAATCCCTGCAACCCATTTTGCGGAACTACGCCTCGGAACTTCTGATCATCCCAGGTACCCTGCTAACCAGTAGGGTCTGCTGTTGGCCATGTAGGGCCTCCTGGGATCTTCCCGGTTCGGGTAAGCAACACCCGAGGCGGACATTGTTTCTTGCGGGCCCTAAAGGCCATAATTGGGATTTGATGGAATATTCTGCTGAACGTAATCCGGGGCCTCCCAAAGTTTCGAGGAAAGCAAACAAATGTGTTTGCCGGTCTGGCTGAATGGAATGCCCGCCATATTACTGGTAAGGCGTTCAACTTTGTAGCGACACATGGGACAAAAGTTTGTCGTCCTCGGAAGTAAACAAAACATGCGCGGATGTGGTGAGAAGTCAAGGAAGCCGTCCTGTCGAATTCTCTTTGAAATTCAGAAAGCGATCGCAAGATCTGTTGGTTCTTTGAAGAAGTTTATAGCGATGAATGTGTGCGTCTGGTGAGGAAACAAGGTGAAACGTCTTTGCTTGTCTTCTACGGAGACTTCTGAGGATCTTGCTTTTTAAGTTCGTAAAGTGCTGCCATCTGTGGCCTACTTTGTTATGTGCTGCCGCCCAAAATGTTCTAGGGATGGGCAGTTTGTGTCGCGAGTAGAGTTGTGCGTGTTCAATCTTGAGGCTAAGAGCTGCCAGTTTATGCAAAAAGACGTGGAAGGAAGATGACAGCATCCAGCCTTCTTTCCTCATCCACGCTTCACCATCCTCGCAGCGCCCTGTTTATCCGAGGCAGGCTGCGTACACCATACACGAACGGGCTACAAGGGAGGAAGCCCGGGCCGAGGGGTGTTTCACAGTGACACATTGCATCCGTGGAGATGCCTCACTCCTTATCCAGCGGCTCCAACCACTACTCCAAAAACGGGCGCATTGTTTGGCCCGACTGATGTGAAAAGGTCAGCTGGCAACTGATTAGAGGGCCCGTTCCAAGCCCGGGATACCAGGGGCCCAATATTGCGCGGCATGGAAAACCCTCCGCAATCCTGCATGGCGAAAGGGCTACACAGGACTGCGGACGCAAAACTATCAGCTAAAAGGGGGACAAAACTCTCCGTTGAACCAAATGGCACAACTTCGGTGGCGGATTCAAGGAACGCGCAGCGAGACCAAACTATGTGTAACGGGCATCCTGAAACCACTATCACTCCCGCAAGTCATTCAACATTGAATTATAATAAAAAAGGCACCGCGGAGTACGTACATGAAGCGCTTTATAAGCAAAGGAAAGCGGGTAACGGCAGGGGCCAGCGCAAATGAAAAAAAAACTTGACTCCTTTTCCTCGCGTTGAGTGGACTTACGTGTTCAGATTGTGGACTGTTTTTGTGGAGGAGGTGCTGACGGGGAAGATTTTCTTCCGCAACGTGTCCGCGATTACGGGCACCACGTGTCGGCGTGTTAGTTACTGATGCTGTGTGTCAGTATCTGTACGCCGAATACTCGCGTATAGTGTGCGTTTCAAACATCTAATCATATCATATTGAATAAAGATTTCTACCCTGTCCACGCTGAAGAAAAATCGCCCGAATGTGATAGTCGACTCACAATAGAATTCTGTAAGCAATGTTTTCCTCTAACAACTAACGACATGATAGACCCATTGTGACCCCGCCGCACAAAAGCAGGCGCAGTAGAACAGATCTCTCCACGTCGCGCCATGACTGTATAATTGCCACGACGCGTCCCGTGTCAGCACAAATCCTGGACCGCACCATTTGCTGCCCACTTCGGAGGTGAGGGAGCGGATACCCAGATCACGTGCGGTGGCTGCCGGATGAGTGATGATAATGTCTGGCTGACTAAAAACAAGGAGGAAGAAATGGTGGCGATTTTGGAGCACAGCCCGTAGCCGCGCTGCACGGGCGTAGTTGAAGGTCAATGTGAACACAAAGGCCGGAGCCGCACAGCGTATGGCACGCTATCGTGGGCAACTGTGCTGCCGGCCCGATGCAGCCTAGAGCGCAAGCGAAAAGGTCCAAATCAGTGAGACATTGCCGCCTAATTAATCGACGCGTGGTGCTTGATGATGCGTTAGAGTTTAACATTAATGCCTGAATAACTCAAAAGTTGAAGCCCATGCGTTTTCAGTACCTAACGAATACATATGCCACACCATACTTCTGAAGCAAAGCAAGAAACATGTTAACAAGTTTCTCTGAGCCTCGACCCGTTCTTTAATACACACAAGCACACTCATGCCCCAATGAATAACGCACCGTCCGTGCTATTCACTGCTCTAATGTCCTCCAATACGCTCGCACCAATCCTGAAAAAACAACGCAGAGACTGGCAAGCAGCCCCACGGTAGCCAGCGCGGACGGCTTTGACACGCACCCTGACGCCATCTGCACACTTCTGTCGGTGTAGAACATCATCACCAGTAGCGTGGCGACGGCGCCCATCGCCACGTAGGCCGCCATCCGGAGCCAGGGGCGCTGGTTCCGACAGAAGAACCCCATCACGGCCGCGGCGGACGCGACGAGGATGTTTCGGCGCCAACACAGCCTGAAAGTGGCGCACAGGCGTCAGGACCAATCAAACTAACCATAGGAGCGTGTCGCGCATTCCTGTAAATTGGTTGTCTCAAGAGCCCAATTAATTAATTGATCTATCCGATTTATTCTCTGCGATCGATTGCGTCGTTTCTGAGCTAAAAATGTTAGCTCCAGACCTATGAAAGTGTACTGATCCGGAATCCATTTCCATTCACTCTTGAACACAATATATATATATATATATATATATATATATATGCGTGCGTGCGTGCGTGCGTGCGTGCGTGCGTGCGTGTGTGTGCGTGTGTGTGTGTGTGTGTGTGTGTGTGTGTGTGTGTGTGTGTGTGTGTGTGTGTGTGTGTGTGTGTGTGTGTGTGTGTGTGTGTGTGTGTGTGTGTGTGTGTGTGTGTGTGTGTGTGTGTGTGTGTGTGTGTGTGTGTGTGTTTGTGTGTGTGTGTGTGTGTGTGTGTGTGTGTGTGTGTGTGTGTGTGTGTGTGTGTGTGTGTGTGTGTTTGTGCGTGCGTGCGTGCGTTAGGAAGCAGATCTTCCTCCCGACGTGCTTCATTGAAAATTACAGCATATTTGTCATTGCCTTGCCTCTTAGATGATTCTTGAATTACCTGAATTAATCGCCTCCCATCATCAAAAAGCTCATTACGAAGGGTACCTATACTATTTAGTGACGTTTAACTGCTCTTGCTAACATGTTTTTTTTCGATGCTCCCTCATACTTATGTTGACGGATTTAAAGGTACATGTACACGGGGAAAATGGCCGGTTTGTGTACCGTCTCTTAAGCTCCTACCCAGCGATATGTTCAGCGCCAGAAACAAAATGCATCGAATTATGTGTTCCTCGTCCGCACGAGAAACAAAACGCATCGGATTCGTGACCGACTTCAATAACATTTTGGAGGCGCATCATACGTCATTTTAATCCTATCCGTTCAGAAAAACAAAAGAGCTCTGGCTCTTTAGTCCATCTCGGTAAACAGCAGTTAGAATTAGAATATAAAACATGAGAAGGCAAACAACAATGGGGTTCGCACTGGATAGCGTTTGCACTGCTGTCCTGGCTTGGGGACAACAGATTTGTTTTTGAACCCAGGACAGTCATGCAAACCGTCCTAAGCCAGGACAGTTTGCACAACTGTCCTCAGTTAAGGACAACAAATGATTTTATAACAACACGGCCTACAAGATTACCATCACATCCTGCAAATCACAAATCCAACAGAGCAAATCACACTACTCTATGTTTATAACCGACCCGTTCTCTGCGATGTTTGCCAGCGTCATGTTCATTGTCGATGTGATTTGCTTGCGATGTTGCTCCCAAGAGATCTTCAGAGGCTTGACTCGTGTACTTAGTACTGGTGTATGGTCATGCGCAAATAATGCTTCCAGCGTGTGGAGTTTACGCGAGTCGTGTGTTGATGGCCAAACTCTAACACATGTGAGCATTTAGCGCGTGAAGCGAGTACTGTGGTCGTTTTGCAAATGCTCTTTTGGTGCCCCTTCCGTGAGAGGGGCGTCCCTTCCGCCATGTGGGGCGTCGAGCCAGAGATGTTGGAGTAAAACCATTGTAGCACACAGGGCGAGACGTGCAATCTTTTATGGCAAGAGTTGGGATCAGACAATGTGCACGCTACATTGGTGCGTTTCAGCAGCTCAAGATCGCTGCGAGCTTTCACGCGCTGAGCTGTACCGCATCAAAGATATACTAGTGAACAGGTAAACGAATAGTGAGGTCGAAAAACACATCAATTGCTCAATGTGAATATGAACCATCACCTTAAACCTAAAAACCGGTCCATTCATATCTACTACCGTAATTATATAAACTCTGACAAACTTAAGGGGAGAACATTGGGAACTATGTTGTCCAGTAACGTAACGGGGTTACACGGTGATCGCTAGGATTGCAAATTTATCACAAAAATTGCAGAATTAGAGATCTTTGAGTGCAAACAACCACGATAACCGGAGAGATGTTGAAGCGCGCGAATATCGAGTACAAATCTTCTTGCGCTGATGTACATTGCAGGCCTTGCTCAATGTGCTTCACGGATAACAGTACATCTCTGTCTCGACGCCTAACAATGTACCTCACGGAATGGGCACCAACAGACATGCAACGCGACTGCAGTACGCGTCTCATTGGCCAAGTGCCCACACAACATACTACAATTCTACGACCAGCACACGACACAGGAGAACTCCACATCTTAGAACCATCGCTCATATGTGGCCATACACCAGCATTAAACAAATTAATCCAGTATTTGAAAGTCTCTTGAGAGCAACAGCGTACGTAAATCACAGACAATAAATATCACGTAGCGGGATTTGCTATGTTTAATTTGTTATTCGAAGTACATGACATCAGTGGTCTATTCCGTGTTGCTATCAAATTATTTGCTGTCGCCAAGCCAAAACGAACAATCATGCAATGAAGAGTCAGTACCATTTTCTATACCATTCTGTGTTCCACGCTCTAATTTTAAGTGTCTCAGCCGTCGACATGAAATGAAGGGCTACTTGGCTTGCTTTAGAGTGGGTATGCAATGCATCCGAAACGTCAAATTAAGAATATATGAAGAGGACATGTGCCTTTTGGGGAACTTCTTTCTAAGGTAACAAATGATAAACCCACTTAGCCTCTTGACGACCTCATGGAACAAAGCAGCTTTCTGCATGATTTCCCCCTCCCCCTGGGAAAGTCCTGGATTCGATCACCAACCTTTTAAGCGTCCGTTACTCGCTGGAATAATGTTTACACCACCGACCACGGACCCACAGCCACCACTGTCACGTCCCACGGCCTGGCCACCGAGCCAGCACGGTGCTTCCCTCCTCTGCGCCGGCTACGGTCCGCACCCGCGCCGCCCTGGGTTAACGGCCCCGCCCCGCCCCAGGCTACCGCCGCTCTCCGCTCACAGCAGGCTCCCAATCGCTGAGCGGCGAGGAACGTCGCGCGGTCGGCTGGGTTCAAGGCCGCAAGGGCCCGGCGACGACGTTGACCGGCATACGGCGCTCCCTCTGCGTGGAGATCGGCGAGCGGCACGGAAGGAAATAGTATCCAGAGACAGACAGGGGGCTAGAGATGCAGCAAAATAATCTAAATTTTTGACTGTAGAGCTGGAAGGGTATCCAGAGCTCAGAATATGCATTTATGAGCGGGACCAGCGCGACCTTGCTTGAACAGCGGGATAACATCGAACTTGTTCCAGGGGCATGATATGCTTTCAGCGACCGTGGGCATCGTGAGAGGTAACACCATGGGGACATAGAATGTGCGCCCCACATTTTTCCGAGCGTGGAGGGCTGTCCCCCGCAGGTGAGAGACCCGGAATGGTCGAACTGGGCCGGTAAGTTGTGCTGGTGAAGCAAGGTGAGAGGACAGCATCTCACAGCGCGCCAAACGTACTTGACTTGGCTGACTACGCCTTGGGAAGAGCGAACCGAACATATCCTCAAATGCTCTGAATACGTGGCTCTTCGTAATACAACCGCCAGAGCAGGCGCTCGCGACTTCAGCTGCTCGATGCACTTCCCACGCTTCTCTCCTGTTCTTCTCACTGTTCCGCAGGGGCGGAACATCGTGCCGCTTTGAGGGTTTCATATCCGCCAAGGTTGAGCGACCCCTTGGCCCCTGGCGGGCTGGGCCGCCGCAAGGCGTAATTTTGTCCCAAATGCTCTATCGTTCTTGTAGTAGTAAGGACGACAAATTTGGTAGAAAGAAAAACTGAAAGGGAAGCGAACGTTATATTTTTGTCGATTTGGAAATATTAAAGGGCGTTTCCAACCTCCTTTGTACTTTTCACTTGTTACGTCAGACGCATACGAGTGATCAGTAATACTACTTTTCTCAAACTCCCGCAAAGCGTAGAACTTCCATTTTAAGTGGCCGACCCTGCGGGAGAAATCTCATTTAGCTTCCTGTTCATCACTTCGAAAGTAACACCTTTCATTTCCCTTTTTCCAACGTGTATATTCTGTAATATTTGCAACACACTTATGTGTCAAAACGTTTGTGTAATAAATGCTAAGCAAACTTGAAATAATATATTTAGACAAAAGATATGCCAACATGAAGCTTTTATCCCGCAAATTCAACGAAACGTTATATGACTCTGATTCCTCCCCTATATATATATATATATATATATATATATATATATATATATATATATATAGCGTTTTCCACAGGAGCTCTTCACGAGGCGCACCCGGGTTTTGGGAACGGCAGTATCATATGATCAATGTTACGCCCTGGTTCAAACATCAACCAATGCACTACACGGCAACAGGCTCTTGCTGCCCGCTGGGCCAATCACAAATGTTATTTCATTCGCAGCAGTAGATGTGCCGCCGCGGTTGGCATGACGATGACGGCTGCGACAATTGCTGACAGCTGAAAGAGGTGTGGAGTTGTTACAAAGCGTGGGCAGCTTAATTTGGAGTGGGAAATAATTAAAATGACGTCCCTTTTATGCCTTGGCGGCGCTGCGATGGCACTACTCAGTGTTATAATTATACGTAACTAGTCCTGATATTTCATCAGAGTATGTTTGTGAAATATGCCCCAAATGTCCGGCACACACTTAAAACGGTAGGTTGTTGGACTGTTTCAAAAGTATGTCGCACTTAGTTGGTGAAATGAGTAACTTAAGGCACATTTCAGACGAAGCGGGTCTTTGCTATCGACTCCCTTGTTCTGTTCGGCTGCGAGTCGTACCGATTGCTTATCGAAGTGTTCCCCCGGAATGCAGCAGTGCTATGGTTAAAGGAAGCGCTCCACATTTATGTGGGACCTTGAACTGAAATGACCATCTTCCTTTCGCTGCTGGTCACAATCACGGTCTTGTTAAGGCCATAGCCGGTCTAGTTTTGAGCTACACGCCCGCGACAATGGGGAGAGTATTTCGGGAACGTAATTCCAAGTCACCTTGGCATTCGGGACATCATAATAACGCCATTCAAATATTGCCATTTCATAAGGTACGCGGCATCAAGGCTAATAGAAAATATAATTGGCCAGGTGTTCACGTTTGGCGCCCGTGAGCACGATTGCAGATAGCCGTCCATTGGCTCTCAATGGTGTGCAAGGTACGTTAATGTGATGAAACCTTGACACATTGGGGAGTATTTTCACTAAACAGATAGTTTTGCTGACGAGAGAAGTCTTTTTCACCTGAAAAGTATACCAGTAGTTCTAAGCTAGCTTGTTTCATCATAACTGATGCTTGCTTTCATATCCTTAAGTGTCAAACATTTCCATCGGTTTTTTTTTTGGACGGACAACATTTGCGCTTGCTGCTGCAAGCATTATTGAACACCTTATGGCTTGTCGATTGGGTGCATTATAAATGCTCTCTTTCTCGGCATTATGACCTTAGAAATTCTATGCCGAGTTACGGACCCTCGATATGACAAGAGTTAGGGTTAAACAAGTTAATAAAGGAGTACAAATTGGTTATATCGTTAGCGGCCAACGTTTCAAGCTGTGCTTATAACAAACGCGTTACCATAAGCACTCAGTAGTGCCCCGTGGACGTCCTCCTTGCTTTTGTCCCATAGGGCTTTCCTGTATTGACTTTTGTATGCTGTTTTATCCCTGCCGACTTCAAGTCCTAGGAATTTTTCAAGTCACATTTTTCCAATTGAACTTTTCATTATTTTGTTGTGTCTAACTCGACTCCTATCTCTGCCGACTTTTCCAACTCGACCTTTATTCTTGTCGACCCTTAGCCATGTCGACTTTTATCTTTTCGACTTTTTGGCCTTTAAAACTTTCTGATTTGACTTTTATCAGTTTCAATTTGTTGTTCTTCGTCTTTTTCCTTTTCGACTTTTATCCTTATCGACTATTATCCCTTTCGACTTTTAGTCCTAGGGCTTTTTCAATTCCCACTTTTTCAGTTGGACTTTTTGCAATTTAATTTGTGTCTAATTCGACTCTGGTCCTTGTCGACTTATCTAAATTTAACTTTTATCCTTGCCGACCTTTATCCCCGTCGAATTTATCTTTTTGACTTTTTCTCTTTCGAAATCTTCCGATTCAACCTTCATCAGTCTCAGCTCGTTCGTTGCCCTTCCCGATTCGACCTGTTTCCTAGTAAACTTTTATCCTTGTCGACTTCTTGCGCTCAACTTTTTTCATTCGACTTTATGTCTGGACACCCGATGCATTACGGGCGTTTTTTTCCGGCGTAGCTTAAATGTTGCGTCGTACATTTCAGAGGCACTCTTTTACCTTTATCATTCGTCCCGGAGTAAACAATTAGCATCAAGATAAAGACAACTTAGGTTCTTTCAAAATCAAAGGTCAGACGTTATACACACGATGCTCATCTATGCGAAAAGTCGTGGGGAAGAGGTGGCATACGGGATGCACCACGGCGAGGGTCTTCGACACGAAGGATCCGGAATTGAGCAACCAAAACATATTGTATTCGCCACGACCCCGCCATCTAAATTATCCATTTAGCCCGAATTATTTTCAGATACTTTTTTATTTTTACGCAGCTCAGGCAAGAGGGTGAGATCATTTAGAGTTACGTAGCATGTACTCGATATTTTTGCCGGCAAAAAGTTTGATATTATCATATATTTTTTAAATCATGGGTGAATTATATTGCAACCAAATATGCCGTATTGGGTATGTCCGTGATATCAACCGAAGGCTGTGTCTCGCAACGTTATTCTGATTTTTGTCGTTAAATTCACGTCTATGAGAAAGCATACAAGTTATCTTAGTTGACGACGGTTGTTGCGTGAAACAAGTTGATGTTGCTGCCACTCCTCAAGTCTCTGTTATGATCACCCCATTTATCTTTGTGGTCACTCTTGGTAGCTTGTTTCGAGGCGTTCTGCCACTTTGTTGAAACGTGACGTGCAGGGCTGCTGGGATAACTTATCATTCACGTTGGGATCGTTGGAAAACTCGGTAGAGTTTTCCAGTTGGGAGGAACAGTCCCACATTAAGATAGCCATGAAACGCTCCGAAATATTTTAAGCCTAATGAAATAAGCAAAAATAGTCAAACAAGCACACACTTGAATAATTTTACGCCAACTCGAGCAATGAAGGGTCACTTTTGACACCCGACTATCTGGGATTTCGGCAAAATTCTGTTGACAAGGTTTTCTATATTCCTGCACACGATTTTGATAGGAAGATAGAACGATTGAAACTACTCTTTTGAAATCTTAGACGTTTGCCTCATTTTCCTGTTTTAAAAATAGGTGATTGTTAAACGAGCCCATCTAAAAGGTCTTTATCACAAGCCAAATATTCACCGCTACGTTAGGCCGTAAGCATGGCCACATTTCGGTATCGATATCTTGAAAACTTATAATGAAACATAAGCAGCTAAGATTTTCAACCCTAATTGTAAAAACAACAATATGTATGCTAAATCGCTCCCTTCGACAGCGTCAGGCATCTGCCGCGGACAGGAAGCGGCGCACAGGGAGAAGGGGAGACGTAGTTGCTGATACGAAGCTCAGTAGGCATGTGATTTGTCACACCTGGCTATCTACACTAGTTTGATACAAAGGGTCCGCCATCGTGACCGCCCGTAAAGACATATGCCAGTTCGCTTTACAGATGACACCAACAAAAGAACGACGCCACAGTACCGACGAGAACCAGCTGCATTCATCTAGAAAGAGAGAATTCACACGATCTCCTGAAGTTGAGGAAGCCCTATGCGCATCGTAAGGGAGCGAACTACCACGACATTTCCTCAGTCTGGACAGTACACAATAATACCTTCAGATTATGACCAGCCGTCGACCAGCTCGTCACAAGCAGCACTCACAGGGCCAAGGGAGAGCAGCAGCAGCGCCA